CTACTTTGCAGTACGAGCCAAGGATGTTTATGGACGTTTTGGACCTTTCTGTGATCCCCAGTCAACAGATGTGATCTCTTCCTCCCAGAGCAGTTAAACCTTGGAGCCTTTATCTCTTCCTCTTTCATAAGTTCCGCTTTTTGGTCTTGTTTTAATCTTGTGCATGAGACCCATTGTAAAATCCACATTGTGCAAGATTTCTTGGACAGATGTGTATGTACACTACATTTGTTTATAATCAGAAGTAAATAAACTCAGCCCATAAAGCAGAATCTTTTCCTGAACAATTCACGCTTCAAGGTTTTAAATGTAAATGTGCACCTTGCTTTAGTTTTGAGGCTGGGGACAATGTGTGGGTGTTTGTGCTTTTCTGTATTTATATGTTTATTGCAGTGGAATCTCCCGTTTTCATTCTCAAATTTACCTCTCTTCCAGTATAAAGTAAGTAGATCAAGGGATTTGAGGTATGTAACTGGCATGATTCTGCTTCTACAAGATCTGTAGGTTCATAGGTAAATGATTTAAACTGAATATAAACAGAATCCAAAGAAAAAAATAAAAAGCAAATGATTAAATAGTTTAAAGTAGGTTAATTTGAACACAGGAAAAGATCTGTTCATCTTTTGTCTCTTCTGGGTGGTTAATTAGATGAAAAAGATCTGCAGCGGGCCCTCCCTTTTCTATCTAATCTGGTTTTCACATTTATTTTGTGCCTTAAAGATTAACTACAAAAATAAACAGGGCCATTGTTGTTTACTCTTCCCTGTCAGTCGTTCACTCTTCGTTTCTCCTTTATCTCTACCAAATGTAGCACATTTCCCTCAAGTAAACTTTAGACCAAGGCTTTTATATGTAGTCCCATCAGTGACATCACTACATTAAACTCCAGAAATCTGACTTGCTGTTTTCTTCTAAGAATATAAACGCTTTTTATTTTTGGTCACTATTTAAATTAACTCTGTGTCAAGTGGACCAAGAGAAGACCACATTGTGTAAGAAAATTTTCCTTCAAACGTATTTTAGTGTCTGTGTTGCACACTGTGTTATAGCTTATGAAAGCAATTCTAGTTTCCCTTATCACCCAAAGCATAGTATGCTTTCAAAGGAAGTAAACAGTAAAATTCACAAAATACAATGAGCGAAAATATCAAAGGGAAAGCTCCATTTCTTCTTTATTCTCATATCGTTCTTCCTGTGTTAATCTTTTAGTTTTGTTTTAATGGTGCTAAGTTTTGTCTTACTGACCCTATGTCAGCTTTGGATGGAATTTAAAGAATATCCTTTGGGGTCATTTTGTGTACCAATTAGATGCACCTTCTGGGCACCTCTGTTCCTCTTCAGAGGTAACCAAATTCAGCTTAGGTCATGGATTTTCAATGAGTGCCAGCTATCCTGGTATCAGGTATGTGTCTGAGTGGAGCTGGCCTAAGACAGGCGAGCTGGCGTAGTTCGGGGGTGAGAGTTGCTTGTCAGTACTCGGAGAGGAATTTACGGAGTTTGTGAGTCATCTTCACATGTCGTATTTGAGTTCATATTCCTACCTTCTTAAACAGATTAGTCATTAATTTTTCCTGGAATTACAGGAGGGAGCTATCCCTTCTATTAATGCTGCTTTGTTTGCGACTTTAATGGCTTGTAATAGGAAGCATTCCAGTTGTACGGAAACTCTCTTTAGAGGCTCTTACTGGTCAGTGTAACTGTCACGTTGGGTGTGAAGCTTGATTGATGCTGAAGAAAGCCTACAGGTTGCCAAAATGTAAACGCCCCACAACTTTCCTTTTGCTTTCGGAAAATGAGGCCACAGTGAGAATTAGAATTTCTGTGAATCGTATTTGCCAACCAGCTATGTAAATTAAACATTACTCACTGTAGAACTGATGATGATGGTAAAGAAGTTGCCAATGTCATGCCAATGAAAAATTTTAAAGGGAGAAATCGGTGATCCAGATATATGTGAACACCTGTCTAATCTCTGCATGTATATATGTTTTTACCTGCAATGGTTGCTTTGTTGATTATGTGTTCAAGATCATTCCTGTCTACAGAATAGAAAGCCTATGTTCAAAATTGTTCTTTATTGGCCGGTTTTATGGTCACGTGATAACAATTTGCTTACCTAGCCTAGAAAGTTTCTCTTGGTGAACAATTTTTTATTTATATTCACTAATTCTTTTTTTTTAAGTTTTCATAACATTATATAATCAAGTAAAGAAGGCCCAGTAGAATGAGAATATTTTAGCTTATATCATGTGTTTCCTGTCAAAAGAGAAAAAATTTAAATAGTAACCCTAAAAATAGATTTACTGCAGTAAAATAAAACTTTATTCCAAATGGTGGAGGGAAGATAAAAAGAGAGATTGTAATTATTTGAGGGAAAAGCTATTATAAGATGTTCTCCTTCAAATAGCCTCACAGGATTTATAGGCAACAGCTATATTGGAGTTAATGAAAGATGCGAGGCTGGAACACTAGGCTTTTGTTCTGGGCAGGTTGTAATGTTGATGAGTGCTTTCTGTTGGGTTTGTTTCTGTGCAAAGAGAGAACGGAGGATTCAACTAGAAATAGCTACTGATTACAGATTTTTTTTAATAGCAGTTCACACTTCATGGACCTTTTTTATTTCACAGTACCTTTTCACAAAGTATTATCAATAAGCTTAATAATCCCATTTGGGGAATGCAAGTTCGCTACCTTTTTAGCCTGACAATACTTGTGTAAGTATTGCCTTGTCGGAAATCCCGGAAACTTCTGATATTTCAACCTGAAATGTATGATGTTTATATGACACTTAAAGGTAATGGTGATGTTTCTTACTCTCTACTTTGCACTTTGTCAGAGTAATTTTCACCCTGTTTTAAGTGTGAGTAAAATTTTATTAGGTTCTTGCCAGTAAATTTATAAATTACATGCGACAACATCTACTGTTAACAGTTAACTTTATGAGGTAACTATATCCCTCTATTTCTCTGGACTCAACTTTTTAAAATATATTTTATTAAGACTAATTCTGAATGAAAAATATAGCTAAAATAGTACCTTTTGGTATCTTCAACACAGTAGAAGTTTATGAGCGAAGTGAAGAGTAGAGCTTGCTTCCTTGAAAAGTGAATGTTTATTGGGGTACCATTTGCCTCACAGAGAGGTATTCCCCAACCCCCACTGCCAGGTAATAAATGAAAGGTTTAATTGAAAAAAATGACCTCCAAAGGAAGGAGCTTAGAATCTTAGGTCCATCTGTCTGCAGAACTCCTGAGGCAGCCTGCACCATACAGTTCTCTAACTGTATTGGATAAGTGTTAACTTAGTTTTTTTGTATGCTCTTTTGCTTACATTTTCTGAATCATCATTTATGCGGCAAGGTGGATGTTAATATTGCATGATATGCATTTATCTTGTTCCACAGATTTTCTAGTACTGTACAAGATTAACAAAATAATGCCTGTGGTATCCTCCTCTTACTTCTGTACACTGTGATCTTAGCACAGTAGGTTACTGCAAAGACTTCCAAGTGTTCTCCCAGACTTTCCTTCCTGAGCTATTTCAGTATCCTATGATAATTCATTATTTTAATTTTATCATTGGCCTGTTTTGTTCTAATTTCCAGAAAAACCATGTCCCAGTATTAGTTGATTGCGAATAATTCTGTCTAAAACCAGTGTATGATTCTGCCTGCCTTACTATTTACTGGGGAAGTGATGCGCCCCGTCCCTCCTTTTTGAATTTTGGGAGAATAAAAAAGATGAGAACAATTTTTACCAGGTGTTTTGTTAGTGTGGCAGATTTATCTGGTTCCTAAAACTTACTCCCCTTGAGCCGACCAATGGGGAGGAATAGGATGATACAAACACATGTTCTGTCTTCTCATCTTCAAATAGTTTTATCATGCTAAATAAGTTCTTCACTTTTTATTTGTAGAGTCAGTTAAATACTCATCATTTATGTTCAATCGCTGTCTTTTAAAAAAAATTGTTTGTAAATAAGGTAACCTGGCAGTCAGACACCTTTGGGGATCCTGGCTTTAGTATTTTATCAGCCATTTCAAAATTAAATATAAAAATAAATCCTCTGTAGGAAACCTGCATCCTGATTTTCCTTTATTGCAGTTGAAAGTGTAAATAAGACAATATAAGACCTTCCTAATGTCTAATATAAACTGGGCTATAGCAAGTTGCCCTATTTTTATTAGGTTTTGAAGGTTTTTGTGGGTTTTTTCTTTTTTTAATGTACAATAGAGTGTTGTCTGTATAAGTGTTAACTGTAGTGGGATTTTGTCCAGCAAGCCTGAAATTTATACTTTGAAATAAACTACTGGGTTTTTAACATTCTGAGTACTCTGATTCATTCTGATTCTTCTCAGCCCTTGTATTTTCTTCTGGAAGCCTCTCGCTTTGTTAAGCATCGCTGTTACCCTATTCAGTATTGGTTTATTGAACTGAACTTGACAACACCACCATGGCATTCAAACCACATACAATTCTCCAGCTTTGAAAGAAAAGTTGTTATGCAGAGTTGCTCCCAGATTAGATATGCTGCTTTTAACTAATGGGAGACAGCATCAAGCTTGCTGGTGTGCCTCCCTGCACCTCAGAAGACTTGGCTGACGCTTGTTAGTGACCAGACAGGAAGACTCACTCAGGGCATTCCTGTTGGAGGTTCCACCCTCCCCTAGAGCTTCAGCATATCCAGCGGTGAGAGGAGGAAAGAGTATGAGGAGCCTGGTTCTTAGGACCCAGGCCTGGAGGTGGCCCAGAGCCTGTTGGCAAGAGCTCTGTCACATGGCACAGCTGCCTAAGGGAGCCTGGGAGATGTGGTGTGCATGGCCAGGCACCAAAGGAGAAGATGGATTTTGGTGAGCGAGAGAGCAGTTTCTAGCATACCCTCTTATCTGCTGAAACCTGGTATTGTTATTTATCATATATAATGTTTCTTCTGTAGTGCTCCACCCTATAGTAAATGCTGGTTTTAAAAATGGCAAAACCCCCAGTAGAAAATCAAAGTGATAGACTGAATTTAATATATTTTATTAAGACTAATTCTGAATGGAAAAACATAGCTGAAATAGTACCTTTGGTATCTCACTTGCAGCCTCCTGTTCCCTTCTGTTCCCTCATCTCCCTCCTTCATTTTATGTCAAGTTACAAAATTGGTTTCATGGTAATAAAATCAAAGTTGTAGACCTCTGGCATGCCCCGATGCAGGGTTTTGTTGAAGCGGTTCCAGTGAAAAACGGGGAGGCCATCTTCAGCTGTGGGCCCACTGATGGCATGGGCCGTGGACTGAGAAGCTAGGTAGATGTCTGCCACCTGGAAAGAGAGGAGCGGGGACATTTTAGAAAACCATTGGGAAAAAACTTGACTAAATCTCCTGTTGCTACTGTTGTTTTTCTTGCTCTTTTTCCAAATTCCTAATATTAGCCCCCCTTAAAATAAAATCTTGCAGGCTCCCACAATGTGCTCTTCTGTATCCATCTGGCATTCAAATGTGAGTTGACCAGTGAAAGTGTGTTACATGAACACAGCCAAAAGTGTGAGATCTGGAGTCAGGTTACTCATATTCAGAATTCTAGCTCTAAAACTTACTTTAAAATAACACCTGTCTGACTCAGTTTTCTCCGTTGTAAAATTAGGCTAGTAACCGTACTTCACAGAAGAGTTGTCATAAGATTAATGAGAGCAAAGACTTGAAGCGGTATCTAGAATATATTAATTCCTCAGTAAAAGTTGTTATTAATCAGGGCAGTAACAAGAGTATTAAAGTAGAAGGAACTCAATATCAAAAAATGAGGTCCACGGTTCTTAAAAACACTTTTTAAACACTGGATAGCAGCAGATCTTAAGGTTCAAGGTACATGCTTCAACAGAAACTTTTTTGATGAAAAATTGGCAGGCTTTTGTCTCTGAAAAAAAGTAAAATCTGGCAGGTAGAAGCTTGGCTTGGGTTCTCCCCAATTCAAGTAATTCTTTTTGTGTATTCTGGAATGGATGTCACACTTTTTACACACTTTACTGAATGTTTGCAAATACCATTAAAAAGAAATAAATACAAAAACATTCACTGGGGCTTCCTGTGTGCCAGGCTCACTGCATCCACTATATTTTTTTTACATTACACAACATTTGGAGAGTCATTAAGGCCAAAGTTTGCCTCAAATTTCTCTAAAGCATCTTCTGTTCAGACACTAGGCCGATAGAAAAAATAACGTGTAGGGGGTTGGCATTCTTACAGTTTTCAGAGCTTCCTCTACTTGTAACAAATTTCTTCCAGAATTTAGGACTAGAGATGCAAAGAAAAGACACGTGCCCAAGCCCAAAGTGCAAAAGGATGTGGTAAGATGACTCTTTCCACGCAACAGATGGTTAACTGCTATCCTTTGACACCCCGAATCCAGTAGTGTGCCAGTAAGTTTTTAACTAGCTCTCGGAGGGGAAAACCCCCCACTTATAGTATTTGCTGATTTCCATGGTGTAAATATTCCACCATCTCAAGCTATCAACATGGTGGCAACTGATTTTAACAACTGGTTCTCAAGCCTACGGGAGCTGGCTTCAGCCCCCTCCCCACAGACTTATTACCTACATTGTGAGACACATTACAGCACTGAACAATTCTAACGTAGAGGGGGGAGGGTATAGCTCAAGTGGTAGAGTGCATGCTTAGCATGCACGAGGTCCTGGGTTCAGTCCCCAGTACCTCCTCTAAAAATAAATACATAAATAAACCTAATTCCCTAACCCCCTGCCAAAAAAATTACAAATAAATAAATTAAAAAACAAAACACAATTCTAACGTAGAAAAACCCTTTAGTGCTTTCAGCATCTGGTCCAATACATGTTCCTTCAGGTAAACTCAATTCCTGTTTAATGTGAAATCACACTGCTTTCAATAATATGTTCTTTGGACTTTGGGCCAGTCTGGTAAAACTTTAGACGTCAACAAAATCAGCACCACCATCATCATCATAATTGTGTACGTTTACAAATAACCCATTAAGTACTGTAAATATTTTATAGCTATTAAGTGTATATTCTTCATAGCAACCCTATGAGGCAAGCGCTGTTACTACGTTTTTCAGTTGAGGAAACAGAAGCATTACAAGATTATGTGATTTATAATCAAGTGGCAGAGCAGAGACTGGGAGTTAGGCAATGGGACCTACCACCAGAATCTCTGAAAAAGCTGATTTCTGAATTGAGTTTTTGTTTTAGAGACATTATTGTGTTTTATGGCACAAACATCTCTGCAGTTCTGCCTTTGAATAGGCCTAGGTGCTGGTGGAAGTTAAATTTAAAAACCAATAGCATGTTACCTTGGTGTCATAGCAACCTCCAGGACTCGGGTTGCGGGAGCTCAGGTCCTGCCGGCAGCAGATGGTGTTGCAGGGATCACCCCTACTGTAAGGCTCCTTCATGTAGTCTAGGAAACAGTGATGGGGCAAAGGGTGAGTCTGGGCCATCCTGAGGTTCACTTATCCACAGGAAGCTTTTTGGACCTGTTAAAGCCCAGGTAATCAGAGAGTGTACCCCAGAGGCCCCCTTGGCCCAGCCTGCTCCCAAGAACCCTGCACAGTGAGGAGTGAGTGGAAGAGAGATAATAAAGGATGAATATGCATCAATTTCTTTTCAACAAAATAAATACAAATTTGACTTTGATACTGTTCATCAAAAAATAAAGTATTTGTGAATAACTTTTGTTTTATTAGCTGCTTTGTCCTTGGAAGGACACCTGTGTTTGGGAGGGGACGGTAAAAAAAGTATATTGTAAGGGTTATTTTGTCTGTGTTTTACATACAATGTTTTTTTCAAAAGAATCTGTAGAATCTTCTTCTCTATCATCTTCTCTAAAGGAAGACAAATTTCTATTTGTTGAGTATAAAGTATGTATAGTATCAATTGAATACTAAATACTTAATTCAATAACTTCTTATAATTCCTTCTAGTACAGAGATGATAAACTTACATGGATTCTTTATCCATGGGGAAGAAAAGGAGTTTTGAAGTGTGATTCTGGAGAAATGTGCTACGTACTGTTGTATCGCATGATATATTTCATGGATGCCATATCAGTCACTTCCCCTTGGTCACGCCGGAAGATTTTGGCTCGTGAAGACAGGTCGTAAGAGTATTCCAAACCCAGCTTCTTGGCTAACAGCGGATAGCCGCTCCAGTTGTAGATTTTTTCATGGAAAGGAATGTTGTAGGAGGGCCAATATCCTGATGTGCAAAGGAAGGGAAGGACGGGTGGGAGTGACGATAGGGAGGGAGACAGAAGAGAGAGGAAACAAATGAAATGTTACTAATGGTAGTTTCTTCTGAAAATTGGCACAGTTGTTTAATTACAAAATGATATTTATAGAAAATAATGAATGTGAACCCTTTTCAAGGTACAGAATAGCTCCTTTTCAAGTTACAGAATCTGTATGCCTCTGCATTATTCCACTGGGGAAGAAGAGCATCAGAATTCTTTGGTTTTTCATCCCAAATTCGTAAAGCAATCTATTAAGCAGAGGAGAACCTCAATTCTAGGCTCAGGGTTGGACAACGAGGCCTTAGGCAGTTAACCTCACTTTTTTTTTTCATTTTTTAGCTGGGGGAGGGAATGGGGGGTCATAATGTGAGGGGATTGGAGATGATCTTTAAGGTTCCAGTAAACTTTTAACTCCTTTGACGCTAAACATTCATGAAGGCTCAGCTTCATTCAAAACTTCATAGGTGGGATAAAGCCCACATTGAAAGTACAGGCTAAAATCACATTTATTGCTGTAGTGTATCTGGGTTATACAGCCTTGGGAGTTAAGACTGGTTCTGCGCTTATGAGCTATGTGACCTTAGACAAGTTATTTAACCTCTCTGTGCCTCAGTTTTATCATCTGTAAAATGTGAACAATAATAGCACTGACCTTATAAGGATTATTATGAGCGTTCAATGACTTCAAACAGATGGAGTAGCTTACAACCGTGTCTAATACTTGGTAAGCACTACATGAATACTAACTATTATAATTAAAGTTCTCTATGCGAACAGCTCAGACGAATGATAAAAATGGCCACTTAATACTTCACATTTTCATAAACCTTTACGATAAAAAAAGCATTTAAAATAGAGTATCTTGTATAACATCACAGCAACCTGCTGATGTATAAATATTACCATCCTTCCTCATAAAAGAAGAAACAGAGGTTCAGAGAGGTCAAATTATGTGCCTCCCTGCTGACTAAATGCACCCTGGACTTCTATCAATGTAACACGGCTGCTTCCAAATCCTGGGAGGTTTGCAGGACTTTTTTTTTAATGGCTATATGACATCACTTAATTATTTGGGCAAATCGCGCATTTCTTTCTGACCCTTTCTTCCTTTACAGTAAGATGGTAAAAATACAACTTATCTGGAAATATGAAGATCAAACAAGAGAACATAAGTAAAAATTATGTCAAGTATACGGTAGACTCCCAGTGAATTTAACTCATTTACCTCTGTTCTTCCTAACTCAGAGGTGGGGTGGGGAGGGACTACAGACAGATCAGCACCAACTTTTTTTAGTCCCAGGGTAGATTTCTTAATGGGATCTAGGAATGGGATTGCAAAGAACCTAAACCTACCATCCTATAAAGCAGCAGCGGTCCCTAGAGGAAAAGGTTCTCGGTAACCAGTCCCCTTTAAGAAGCATCTCCCTCTTAAGGCACGAGCTTATTATCAGGCTCTCAGGAGATGGATGGACCAGGCTTCTAAGTCACACTAAGCTAGGGTCTCGGTTTCGAACTGCCATGCTCATCAAGCAACAACCTAGTGATCTGACTTCTCAGGTCAATTTTCCAACAAGAAAAGGAGCTGGGTCTGCTACCTGGTAGCATCTCATCAGCTTGGCAATTGAAGTTCCCACCTTCACTAATTTTGTTTTATGCACATTATGTGCATTCAGCTGGTGTGAGCCTCCCTGGAGTAAGACCGCTCACTCAGGGGGGTCGTTACAAAATGGATTCGAGGATCTGGGAAAGTGAGGACCAGGCTCTGATGGCCAGGCGCACACCTCATCTTGGTTCTGTTCCTCCTGCTCTACCAGCTGATCTCTTCCGATAGTTTTCTGACTAGTCTCCTGTCTGCTCTGTGACCACCAGTCTGTTCTCCCTTTTTAAAAACTTCAGTTTTCTAAAGAAGAAAGGCTAAACTTCTCAGCAGGACACGCAGGGCTGCTATTCGTCCCTCACTACCTGTCCTCCGCGTCACAGCCCGCCCTGCAGCTGTCGTGAGCTAATCGTTTCTCAGTCACCGTCTTCGTGCCTCCATTTGTTTGCCCTTATTCCTTTGCCAAATTGGTGAGCCCCTTCCTAGCCTTTAAACCTCCACTCAGTCATCCTCTTCACTTTCACTCAGCAAATACTCAGTGAGGACGTCTCGCGTGTGCAAAGCCCTACGTTCAGTGCAAGATACTTGTACTTGCTTTGCGTCAGCAAGGTGCTCGAGAATTATCTGTCAATTATTATGACAACCCTGTGGAATTGCAAAGGTCCACGCTCCCACATCCAAAAACTCTTGGGGGCCAGATGTGTTTCAGAATCCAGGCTTTTCCAGATTTTAGAACGGGCAACGGGGAGTGTGTAAATTATATACGATGTGTCAGTCTCTGCGGGGAGCACCTCATAATCAAAGATATGGATATTTTTGTAGCCTAATGTATAAATAGTCTGTCCAGAGGAGAGGAAAGAAGGACTATAAATAGTTCAGGTTAGTTTTTGCTACCGAGTGAGTTCAGATCAGGTCATTATTTTGCTCACAGGGAGCTAGGACAAAAACCAACCAAGCAAACAAACAGCTTTTAGTTTTAGGATTTGGAGATTTCAAAATTACAGATCAGTGACCTGTACCATGACTTGTGTTCTACAGATAAAGGAAGTGAGGCTTGGAAAGAATGGATAAGATTTTGAGGAACAGATATTCAAACCGAGGCAGTGTGACTCCAGAACCCATGCTGGGCTATGCTCTCACCGTCCAGAAGCACCTTCTCCGATCCCTCCTACTGACAACGAGGTTTTCTTTAGTTTCACCCCCAGGGCTGCTACACCAGGGCTTATCTGGGTTCTGGCAGCTGCTTTATGTGCCTTGCTTCCCCACCAGACTGTGAATTCCTAAAGCCTGGGGATTTTGCATCCATGTTTTTCCAGTCTCCGGGCCAGAGTTGCACTCCCAGAAACATTTGCTGAACTGAACTAAACATTTTACCGGGAACCCAGGAGAGAAGGTAATACTGGATCCATGAGGAGTCGTAAGATCATGAATGCCTGGCTTTGTCCCAATCTACCACACAAGAGTACATTGTCAAGTAAGAGATTGAGGCTGCAGGTTTCACACATTGTGCTGAGCCTGGTAATTCTTTCCCAGCGTGACCAGCAATGGCATCCCCATCCTTCTTTCCCCACCATACACACTGCTCGGTCCCCACCATATACACGCGCACACACACATACTCATAAGACTTCCAGCTTTCTAGCATGAAGAAAGTACCTCTCCGGAGAACATCGGTCTGTTCAGAATATTCTATATATGTAGGAATTTGCTCCACAATGTACAGAGTGCCTTTGCCAAGGCCATAGTTCAGATTTACCTTCTTTAGGTCCAGGACCATGTACTGATTGTTATAGGTGCCTGAAATATCAGGAGACATGAAGACAGGGCATGAGCATGGCTTCACTGGTCAACTCGAAATCCAAATATATGTACCTGCCGAAAAGTTACTCTGCAGAGACACTTACCAGAATTGTATTTTGAAAAGATCTCTGCCCACTGCTTGCCATCTCGTGCCATCATATTGGCCACCCGGACTCTCTGCCAGGCCAGGAGAGACTGGGGTACCACCTGCTTCAATAGGGTCTTATTATACACGCTGTTTGTGGTCTGCAGCAATACCAAACCACTGTTAAGAATGTAAAAGTCATCCAGAGACTCCAAAAACCCTACAGAAACAGAAATATATAAATCAGCATACAAATACACAAAATATGGGACCCTCATTGTTAGCACAGAGCTTTGCCTACACAATGCGTTTTGCAGAGTATCAGTTATCATCCTCAGTCATTATCCGCAGTTACTCAACTGCTGCTTACAGAGGTGCCAGTGGACCTCCCTGCCCGGATTCTCCATTGAAAATTTTTGATTTTATGATTTGGGATGACAAAAATATGTTAAACTAAGACTATTCCAAGGTTCCAAAATGATGAACAGAAATAGATCCTCACTCTCTAGGATTCTGCGGGAGAACTTACAATTGGGGGAGATGTTAGCAGGATTCATTGTTGGAGAGTAAGAATATGGGTGCCTTCTTTCTCCTCTTTCCCCTTTTCTGTGTTTTCCAAATTTTATACAGAGTCTATAAAAATTTTTATAAATAGAAACATAGCTACATTTATAAAAGTGAACATGGTTTTGAAAGTAGGATATTGACACTCTGGGTCAACACTTGTTACAAATGTCGGAGGCAACGCAGGACAATCAGTGGCGCCACTGGTCTTTTTTTAAAGGCCAGTTTTGTGCTTTATACTGTGACGAGCGTGGCAGAGATCAGGGGCTATCAGACACAGCTGTATGGATGAGAGAGCACATACCATTGTCTGTGACTAACAGTGATGCGTGAACTGGCAGTGCTCAATTAACGACAGAGACGAGCCCAGCGAGAGATTAGAAGGAGCCAGAGTGGTGGGTTCCCCCGATGCTTCGCGAATTCCCACCATTTTTATACCACCTTGCCATGTTTGCCGTTACCTGCTTACTGCTTGTACTGCTCAGTATCTTTCCTTAAATTAACTCTCTCTTCAAACTTAAAATACTTAGCCTTAATACAAAAAAAATATCCAAGGAACAGCGGGTCTAATGTTTCTGGGCTTTTCTCCCCACCAAACCAATATATTCCAGCAAACACATTTCTACTAATGTGCAAAAAATACGTGTTCGGGAACCACCTCCTATCTCCTCATTAGAACTACGCATAGCACACAGTGAGCAACTCCGATGTAGTCTGATGCTTTACAGCAGGGAAGAGCGAAATGAGGCTCACAGAGGGGAGAGGACCTATCCAGGATCATACAGCTCCTGGCAGACCTGGGTCTAGAATGCAGGTCTTTGATCCGGTGCATTGCTTTCCCATTAACTCTGAACACCTCTGCTCAGTCCTCATGGCTCGCCTCCTCTGGCTTAATGAAGGCCGGAGGAGGACAGCTTCATGGAGGAAGTGGATCTGGAGCGGAGTCTTGATTCTTATATAAGTGTTGACAAGGTAGAGAGCTGTGAGCATTGCAGGTGGGAGCAATAATATGAATGAAAGTGCACAGCAGGAGTAGTCTGTAGCACAGGAGAGTGGACGGTTTGGGGAGTAGGGGCAAAGAAACATTAGAAAATACAGTTGGATAGTCATTCATTCATTCACTCAACAAACAAGCTATTGAGTATTTACTCTAGGCTTGATAGGGATAGGTGGGGTCAAATAATGGCATCGCCCAGAGCTAAAGACAAGACTTCAGAGCATCCACTGGGAGTCAGAAGGCCTGCGTTTCAGTTCTCTGCATTGTCACCAACAAATCTGGCACTTCTCATTTTGCCTCTGTTCCTTATTCCCTCCCTCTGATAACCTGGGACTTCAGGGAAGTCATTCACCTCCAACAGTCTAATTTTAACTCCTGAAAACTCCTGAGTGCGAAAGTGACATGATGAGAGCCGCCACAAGACTGCAGTTGGCCAGTACGGAGACCCATGGACAGGACAAAAGGATGCACAGTCCAAGCAGTACAAAGCTTGTTACAGGGCTGGCACCCTTGAGTGCAATTTTAATGGGCAACCCCTCTGAGAAGATACAGCCTAGATATAGGATGCAAGACTGATACAGCGCGAGATGAATTGCAAGGACTGTTCATTCACCTCCTGGGCTAGGGTCGCTCTGCAGTGTTTGAACTCTCCCAGCCATGCTTGGCAGCCTTCAGCAAGCTCTCTGGTAGAAAATCTCCATGGGATGGAATGCTCTATGTCTGGCCTCATACACTTGCTGATTCACTTCTTACTGTAGCAGCCTCTATGGACACAAGAGGGCAGGTGCTCTTCCATATGCATGAGTGACTAATAGGAAAGGAGTAGTCTTACTGAAGACAGAAAAATGTAAAAATTCCAGAGTTTTGGAACAAAGAGAAATTGGCTTACAACAAACTTTAGTCAAGGAAGTTAATTCTATAGTTTAAAGCTTAAGATAAAAAAAAAGGAAGAGGCCCAGAGAGAGGGGATGACATCCTGAAACACTCCATTATGAGAGAAATAAATGTTCTTTGACTACATAAAATTATATTCTTGCTCTTATCTGTCCCGAGCAGCTTTGGAAGGCACGCTATTTTAGATCAGGATGAAGCGAAACACTCAGGTAAGAAAACCAGCCTGCAAACAACATTTCATAGTGAACTTCTTGCTAAGCTTAATTAAGAAAGAAAAGAGAACCCTTACAGTTAATAAATCACATTTCAAGACTTAAAAAAAAAAACACTTAAATCATAACAATTAACAAGGACCACTTAACCTCTGATGCCATTTGGATCTATTGCTTAATACAACCCAGAAAAGTTTACCTTTATTATGCTATCAAGTGTATTTAAAATGCGCGCATTTGGAAGAATGATGTTAGCATCATGGGAGTGGGAGATGCTCTCTTTGTCTCTGCCCTTCAGTCTACAACCAGAGAAACATGCACAGCTCAACAAAGGTGCCTCTGCCCCACACGCCAGGGTGCTGGAGAGCTCCACACATCTGTCGTGTAAAGGTGGGTGGACTGGAAGACACAGAAGGGGCAGAGCCCGGGGAACAGGGAAGGCAGTGCTTGCGGTCCCGGATCCCGGGCCACGCTGGCTGAGCCCACAGCCCCGGAGAACCCGGTAACAGCAGGGGAGGCGGCACACGCGACTCCGGGGCTCCGGCCACAGCACCCACCCCAGCCACAGGGAACTGAACTGGGCCCTGCAACCCTGCTCCTTTAGCTATAGAGGCCCCACCCCAGCTCCCACTGCCCGCAGCAGCAGCAGCACCCTCAAGCCTGACAACCCCAAGCGTGGAGAGACACCTGCGACCACGGCCCCGCTTCCCCCCTCTCCTTCCGTCTGAGGCTCAGAGCCTGCCACGTGGGAGGCTCTGGACACAACGAAGGCACCTGCCAGCTCGGTGCCCCACGTGGCACTGCCAGCAACACCGGCAGCCCCAAGCCACCAACAGCCCTGGAGGCACAAGCAGTGACAGTGAGGGCACCAGGCAACACCTGACAGAGGCAGTGGAGGGTGGAAAGTGCCAGCTCTCAAAAATAACCAGAGGCAGCGCAGGGAAGGGAAACCAAAACTTGTGCTCTGGCGCCACCTACTGGAAAATAAAAGACCTCTACTTACCAGCCTGTTGAATCACTATAATCAGGTGGGGGGAAAAGCTTCACCTAAAGAAGAGACACGTTGGCCACTTACATGCCCCGGCAAAGGAACGCTCATCAAGCACTGTGAAGGCCCACGATAGCACAGACCTGAAGAAAGCACCCACCTAAGCTGATTTCTCTAAGCCAAATACCTACCATATCCCAAGGACCGAGCAGTGGTTCCCAACCCAGTGACTGTATCCGAAATCCTTCAGGAGCTTCTTCAAAAGGCGCATGCCCAGACTGTCCTCTCCGCCCACCTGTGCTCTCCTCTGAGTCTCCACCAGAACGCCTGCTTTAAGGCTACCGTCTGCCGCTGGAGAATCTTCCGCATCCTCACTAAGAAAAGGCAGCTTGAGGGAATCCTTGTTCTCCCAGAACATGAAATCCTACAGCTGCTTATTTTGTCTCCTCCACAGTGGCCCCAGTCTTCCTACTTTCCAGAATGGCATTTACTTACTTACCTTCCTGCAAAGATCCTAACTGGTACCAATCAATTTCCCCTTCTCCTTCTGGTTAACTATTCTTCTATCAAGTATGTTTTTTGGTGTTTGTTTTTTTGTTTTTTTTTTTAAGCACATTTCTGCTTAATCCTGCAGTAGGAATATGATCAATGGAGGATTCATCCTATTACGTATTCAAGCACACAACCCCACATCTGGAGTCGGGACAGCTGTGGTGGTCCACATAAAAGAATTGGCAGGTCTCTTAAAGATTACATAGAGTAAATATGAAGAAGGTGGGTTTATATTTAATCAACAGCCTGTTATTATCTACATCAAAATTAATTTTTTCTTCAATAATAAATCATCTTGTTTACTTTGGATTATTTGTTTACTGTTTTCTTTTCCATCTTATCCCACATCACGTCAGTTCCACCAGCGCAGGAACTTTTTCTGTCTTATTCACTCCAGCGCCAAGAAAACGATTTGACACATAACAGATGCTCAGTAAGTAACTGTTAAATACAAGGAAGAAGGAGATAGTGGTGGTGACTAACATTTACTGTGTACCTACTACACACCAGAAACCTTGCTTTCAGAGGATAGATTTTGTTTATCATTTGATCGTCACAAAAAGAATGCTTAGATGAGCTATTTGAAAAAAATGTTTAGCTCTTTAAAGGTAATAAACAGCATTGTCAGGAACAAATCTAGGACTGAATGTCAACACACACCTATAATATCCACCTGACAAATTTGAGGGGAACAGATCTGTAGTCATGCAAATGGCAACAACACTTACCCACAATGGAGCACACGCATTGGAAGCAATTAGGAAGAGAGTGAATCATGGGGAGCTGCATGTTTAGACAGGGCGGAGTTGGGGAAAATCACCTTATGACCAGTTCATCAAGAAGAACATGGAAAATACGGCGGGATTTCAAGAAAGAAGGCAGAATGCTTCTTTAGCTAGGTGGGGAAAGATGGGAGTGCCCTGGCAGAAGTCATCAGCATCCTGGGATGGTTCCAAAGAGGAATGCAAAACAAAAGCAAGGTAGTTAGGAAAGCAGAAGTGAAGTGCTACAAG